GCACAAAGCGAGCGATTGAAAAGCGGAAGCGGGCGAGAGGTTGGGCGAAATGAGTTCTGTACCTCTTTGTTTGATGAAGCGATGCTGATGCCACAATGTCGCCATAATGAGGCCACAATGAAGCGAAACGATAACCGCCCAACATTTTAATGTCGCGACATTGAAGCGATGCTGAAGCCATAACAATGCCATAATGATGCGATGCTGAAGTGAAGCTGAAGTGAAGCCAAAGCTTCCGCGAGAACTGTACTGTATTTGTAACCACTGATTTTTACTTTGATTTTTATCATAATTATATAATTTTCTATTGTTCAAAACCAACCATTTTGTCAAAGCTACCCTGGGCGCTAAGCCGGTCCAGTATGTAATTATTTTTAGTTTTTACAGTATTTAAATTTCTTATAAGCTACTGAGTCTCAATTGTGTCTTCACGTGTACATGTACATGTAAATAGTTATTCAATCTGGATGTTTTTTATATATTGTAAAACTGGTTGCAACAGAACCAGTTAGATTTATAAACATGAAATTTGCAGCATATACCATGTTCATCATGCTTGAGTAAGTGCTGTCTTTCCCATTTTGGGACATTTCAATTTTCGGGAAAACATTTGGCTGACATTTCCTGTCCCTAATCATAAAATCTGGCCTTTGATCGTTGTTTCACTTTTCCGAATAACAATTATCAAATATATATACTACAGTGTAGATATCAATTACTATGAATATGTTGTGCAGATAACGGGTAACTATGCATAACCTATGCTTTGACAATGACCTGTTAACAACCATGAAAGGCAGTGAATACTTTATTCCACATTCAGATTGCACTCTGACATCAACAGTTCACTTCTGCATTGCATTACCATAATGCATCTGGGAATTCCGAGTTGAATTCCAACACAGCATTCGGATTGGTTAATAACAGACTTGACCTATCAGGTCAAAGGACATTGTTTGAGGTCAAATTGTGCAAGTAAACATAATGGCGAAAATTTCTTTCATCAAGCATTTGTGTACGATTAAATACATTCAACAATGAATAAGAATATGAATTAACTTCTGTTGTTGTCATTCATTTTGTAACCAGGGTGTTATATTCATGTAAGAGTATGTGCTCTCAATAGATCAATGACTGTATTGTTGGTTGGGTAACCTCTCACTATTATCTTACCGGTACATGGTTTCAAGTGTTCGTTCATATTTTGTGTTTCAGAACCAAGACCAGATTATTAATCAGTTGAAGGAGATCACTGGTATACATGATGTACAGACGCTACAGAAAGCATATAGTGTTAGCCATGGTGATGTTTCACAGGCTGTGCAATTACTGACATCAGAGACTACTACAGATGCTGCTCCTACACAGGTCGTACCAGTAGGTGAAGTTAGTGACCCTACTCCCGCTATTCCAGATGTACAGTATGGACCGAAAACTAAAAGCCAAGGTAATTAAATAGCACAATATCCAATCAAATAGTCAGTATTGGCACAGCCCCCCTATTTTCATATTTGGACATAAGCCTGGCTTGCCCCTGTATCCACTCCAAGACGAGTCTATCTTCATTATCTTCAAATCTGGTTACAAGATTATTCCCTTGTTATGATCATATCCAGAAGGCTATCTTTTTTTCCTCATATCTGAAGACAGTAGATGTATATAAAAAAAATGAACAACAGTTGCCAGAATTTATTTTATGAGTTTGTCTCTTTGCCATCTTTCTCTCATCATTGAGTACCCAGTATAGCTCTATTGTGAAGGTTTGCTATACCGTATTACCCCGGGCACACGCCCAGGGGCCTGAACATACAAAATCGGGAAAAATGGGGGTGGGCACTTACCCGAGAACCACCCCAAAAATATTTTTAAAAA